TTTCAATAGGAGAATCTCTTTTAAAAAACATAACATTTGTTTTAGTGGACTACATCCACTGTCCAAACCTTTTTTTTTTCCTTTTAAATTTCATCCCTCTTCCTGTTTTTTGTTAGTTTGAGTTTTAAACCGAGTTGATTATACTGTAAGTCTCTGTGGCTGAAATGCTGCTTTAAATCTCTAAATATCCTGCTGCACACATTTCAGGTGCCTACTCTTTTCCATACTACTTGCTTCCATCTCCCCGATTAAGCATTTATCCTTTCTTCTTAGTTATTCTAGTTTAAAATAAAACGGCCTACAATGTCTTTCATCAATAGCTGCAACCCTCTTTGTGTTTTGACTTAGTGTGAAAGTGGCAGGAACATGCATGGCACCCATAAAGTGATTCAAATGCTTTTGTTTTTGTGTTCATGCTGGAAATAATTCTGATGTAACTGTAAGTTTTGATGTGGTTTCCAATATTCCAATAGCCAAAAAAATTTCAACCTTCTGTTGGGGGGTTGCCAATGCAGGGCCATTAGCCAAAGTGTAGTTGTGTTGTTGATAACCTATTCAAATTCAGTCAGTCACTGATATTAATTCACTAACTGACTGTGAGAAAAGTGTACAGTTCTTGTAAGCGTTAGACGTCTGCTTTATATTTTTATTTACGATTGAGTTCATGTTTGTTTTATAATTCATAGATTCATTACATAAGTCATCTTTTCAGAATTAATAAATGTGAAAATATACGTGTTTACATAAAGTAATTTTAAGTCACTGTTTTGGGATTGGAACCTAAAAGGGGGTACCTCTCACTTTAAGTATGTAAGTGCAATTGTAGCATGAAATCCTGTGTGAGAGGGAAGGGGAGGAGCATGTACAGAGGTTAGGAGTCTCACGGTTTTCTGACCGTGTGCACAGGTAGTTCTGGATAACTGCTATTTTTTGGAACTTTCATGCTTATTTAGAAAGGAGTTCATTGTTAAATCTTCAGTTTGTAATAAATAAACAGTCTTCAAATCATAATGCAACTGGAAGCATTTCTTTTGGAAACCAGGAACACGCGTCAGCCATAGACTCCCCTTTTTAAACTTGGTTTATTGGAAATTACCCTACAGTTCTAATGAAATCTGTTAAAGTTTGTGGCTTGCATCAACTTCTAGCTTTAGTGATAAGTATCTCTGTGTCTATGTGCAGTATATGTACAAGTAGTTATGATCATGCACATGTGGTTTTACCTCTGAGTCGTATTATGTCGTATTATGGGTTTGCATGCGGTGAACAGAACAGTTGCTATCTTTTCTGTTAAATTTTAGGCTGTGCAGACCATTTGCATTCACAGAATTGAAGCTTGACTTCTGAAGAACAAGCCTAAAGTAGAGTACTGAAGATGCAGTCAAGTTTGATTGTAGCCGCTCTTCTCTGTTTCACAACCTGGATGAGCTCAGTCCGTGCAAGTGAGTACTGCAAGGAAGAAATAGTTTTTCATTTACTTTATGGTCTGACTGTTTTTAACAGATAAAATTAATGCAACTTTTTCTGTGTGTGACATTTTCAGCCCCTATAAGCATACGCAATTGTTGTGTCATGTGGTCCAAAACCAGAGTCCCACTTGACCGAATTGTGAATTACTCCATTCAGACTGAAGAACACTGTCGCATCAAAGCAGTACAGTAAGTTTATAGACAGCTTCACACTGTATTGAAAAATATATACTTGCTCTTCATTCAAAGGTGTTGGCCAGCTGTTGTGGGCAGAGTTTCCTACTCCAGTCCGAAGACATGCTTGATAGATTAACTAATTACTCTAAATTGACAGCAGGGTTAGATGTGAACTTGAATGCTTGTAAGTGTTCACATCGCTTCACAACAGGGATACATTAATCTATCCCTTTACTGAAAACATTTTAATGTTGCTCGATGAAAATGCCTCCCCATCATCT